CTTTTTTGGAGTGAATTAACAAGACACTCACTTCTGAATATGGACTGATGACACGAAAAGCAGATCAAATTCAAGTAAAAAAATCCAAAGGCTGGTTAGTTACTTCTGTATGTACTACTAATTGGCAATCACAAATTACATCACAATCATTCTAAGTCCTTTCCAAGGAAATCTTTCTGATCTGTTTGGCTGCATACTCGTTAAAATACACAGCTTCTATTGTCACGATTCGTCCTTTATTTACCATGTAAGTTGTTCCATGAGTAAAATATTTGCTTGAAGTCCCTTGATACTTGAGACCTTTTTTAACAGTTTACATTCTCCGGTATTGTATACAACAGCGGACAGGAACCCTTACTAGTATCAGTCATTTTTTCTCGAGAATTCGATATATTTCACTGATACCTCCTTCACTCCAGATCCCACCCATTCCAATAAAGATTATTTTTAATAGTGCCTAAATGGCATTTAAATCCATCTAGTCATTGAACTAGGGCTGAACAAAATGAAATCATTTTCAACTCTGTATTGGAGATTTGTTGGAACTTGCCGATTTTTAGTTTTCTGGACCTTCTAGAAGCCTCTCATCAATGTGCGTTTTATGTTTTGGTTAAAGCTCTGAACTAGGATTCAGAAGACCTGGGTTCAGCCCCCCCCCCCATATATGCAGAGACTGCCTATGTTACATTAGGCAAGTCATGTAGGGTCTTGTTCTTTGTTGCCCTACACCTTGCACAGTCATTTATACTAACATCAACTGCATGAAGTGCTAACAGATACAATTGGTAGTTTATACTACTTTTGCACTTGTTTTGTACTGCTGTAAATAATTGCACAAATGCAAGGCAGTGAATGACCAAGCCCTTAACATCCAAGTTCCTCAGTTTCCTATCCCTAAAGTAAAGGATACTACTTGCCTATCTCACTGAGCTATTGTAAGGATAAAATCATCAATGTTTGTGTGGTGCTCAGATGCTAGAGGGATGGGTCCCCAGGCCAATAGAACCCAATTTCCCTTTTCTCCCCTGGCTCCAAAAGGACCTGAAAGTACAACAGAGCTACTAAAGATGCATCATACTCTCAGTTTCACAGTCCTTTTCTTACCTCCATGAAATAATTGCTGTTATTTGTCTCTTGTACCATTTTCAGCCCTCACCCATTTTTTTTAAAAGATCATTCATTATATAGCATCCTCCTGTACTACATGTCAGGCACTGAACTTGAATTGAGTACGCCTATTACATATTATTTACAAGATAAAACATGATTTTCACAGTTTGTTCTTGAATGTATTCCCATTTTCCTCATTTCTTGTTTCAACTGTGCTTTTGGGCCATTCATTTGATCTAGACTATTTATACAAGAAACATGATTAAAATTGGACTTTTACATATAAATTGCACTTAGCTTCTGATCACAATTTGTATACAAGCAGGCAGTAGTATCACTAACAATATGGCTTCTTTACTCTTTCTGTGGAATATAATTTATGCTGGAGACAGGACACTGACCAGCCAAGCTAAGGTAGCTGCGGTGTCGTATCATATATATATATATTTTTTAACGAAACAGGATCCTTTAGGGAGGATGGATGGCTCAGGGGGAAAGGTACTAAGCAGGACCTGGGGAGATAGAAGTTCAGTTCCTGGCTCTGTTACTGACAGTCTGTATTATCTTGAACGAGTCGCTTGGTCTCCCTCTTCAGGACCCATCTGTGCCTTAGTGGGTGCTACCAGATTGCTGTTTAATCTGCAATCCTTTAACACCAACATTACATTGCTCTGACAGTCATAGAATACATGAGAAAAGAATTATTTTCTCACGTAATGGTTCCCCACATCCGTTTTGTTCTTGTATTCTCTGCACAAGGGTTCTTGTCCTAGTTCTTTTACCGTTTCTGACATTAACCTTTCTCAAAACAACTCTCACGCCTAGTCTAAATATTTTAGGTTTCATAGCATTATCTTTACTGCTCCCTGTAGATTAACTCTGATATATTCGATTTACTCTAAGTTAACATTTTCTCATTACTCCTTTTCTCCTTTAAAATAATTATTACTTGTATTAACATAGTACTAAGAAACCCTAGCGATGAATCAGGACCCACTGCCCCCCTCACCTTCCTAAGTTTTAAGTTCACTTGACCTATTAGCAAAGGGCATATTTAATGGTTAATTTCTGTGTATTTATAAACCAAACAGAGAGATCCTGGTATCCCAGCAGACATTCCCATCTCTAAAAGTGCACTGTACTCCCGGATTGGCACCTCAGATGCAGAAAACACCGCAAATCTGCACTACCCACAACAAGATATAGATTCTGCACTACGACTTGCCAGAGAGGAGGTAACTTCCTTATGGGGTGTGGGAAGAAGAAACATTTCTTTTGTTGGTTTGATTCTTTCTTGTTTTCTCAAAAGGCATTCCCCTGATAGTGATGTACTTTGTGGGTCTAAATATCCTTTACGCTATGGTCATACCATTCAGGGCTTTGGGAGCAGGAAAAGGATAAAAAGAGGGAATAGATTCTGTTTACTTAATGGAAATGAGAGCCAATCCCCATATATGGAAATTTTTATTTTTTATGTTAGCCACGTGCAGTGATAATTAGTGATGCTACTGCCAAGCAGGCAATAGCATCACTAATAATATTTATTCTTTGTAGGGAGTATAGGTTATGTATCAGCAGTTTATGTATCTTAAGCTATGGAATACTAGTTCATCATTTTACATAAGAAGTCTGTTTTTATTTAATTCATGGTGTCTACAAGTTGCTATCCCGAGCACTTGAAAAACACATCCCTTCCTAACGAGTTTGTACAATCTAACGTTAGTCATATAGAAACTGCCTTGGCATCCTATATATCATGAAATGCATGGGGAAGGAGGAACACAAGTTAAGGTTTATCCTATTCTTCGATCACTTGGGTTTGACAGGTTTGCAAAGCATGACAGGGCGTCTTAGAGGAGAAATCCTGAAAGCCTTCCTCAGGTTTCATGATTTGGTGTCTAGTTGAATCAAGAACAGTAGCACTGCATTTATCATGGATTAGATTATCTGTAATCAGTTGAACATAACCGTACTGCCCTCAAAAGAGATTGGGGAAACTTGATCTGGTTCCTCACTTAGACTTCCTAACTGAGGCCTTATAGTTGGTTGAAACAGAACAGTTCTCCGGGGATGTTCACACTGTATCCAGATCTAGATCTGAAATCAGAAGCCCAGGCCTTTCTCTAGGCTCTGCTCTGTATGTTCCTTAAAAGCAGAATTCAGTTAATCTGTCAAGCCAGGTATCTGTTTTAATAAATAACTTCCCTTATCAGTTGTTTCCTCCTCCTTTGTATCAGATTGTGGCCAAAGAAAGAGAAGTGTCTGAGTGGAAAGAGAAATATGAAGAAAGCAGAAGGGAAGTGATGGAAATGAGGTGAGTTGCTAACACAGCTGAGTCACTGATTAAATTAATCAGATCTCTTTTTGCACAAGCATATTGAGATAAATTTGCCCATACATATTATTTTAGTACTTTTTGTAACTACTCTTTAGATGGCTCCTATCCCATTTTCACTTACTCTTTTCCATACACAATTGGCAATTTATCTCTCTTGAGGTAGCCCTGAGGCGACACCTGCACCAGTTAGTTCAAGGGTGGGCAAAATATGGCCCATGGGCCAGATGCAGCCCACCAGCTGATTGAATTTGGCTTGCAGGCAGATACCCACCAATTAATTGTATTGTGCCTGGCCAGTGGCTGCCCCTCCTGCACTCTGCATGGGGCCAAGTCCTGCCTGCTCCCACTTGGGGCAGTACGTGCTGCGCTCCCAGCCTCCCCCTGCTGGAGGGCACCAGCCCTGGCCATCAGGCACAGCTTCTAGGTAGGACTGCTGAGCTCCCCCAGCCTCCAGCAACTCCTCCTCCTGTCCCTGCTGCAGTGCTCTGGGCAGCAGGTAAGGAAGGGGAAGTTACAGCATTGAGAGGAGTGGGGTGAGCTCTGCCTGCAGCTTGCATGGCTTGGCAGGGAAGCATGTGAAGGGAGGGGAAGAAGGAGCTTGGCTGCTTACAAAGCCCCGCTGGGCAGGCAGGTGAGGTGGGAGCAGCAGCAGCAGGAGCTAGCATGGGCTTGGTTCAGCCCCACCGGGCAGGTACAGGATAGGCAGGTAGGGTGGGAAGAGCAGCAGGAGTCCGTGTGAGCTTGGGGCAGCATGTGAGGTGGAAACAGCAGGAGCCAGCGCAGGCACCGTTGCAGTCCCACCAGGCAGGTATGGGACAGAGACCAAGAGAGCTGGCAATGCCAGGCTTGGCACCCTGTCCCCCACTTCTCTCTCCTAGCGGCTTCTGTTGCTGCCCGCCAGCAGCTGCTTTCCCTGCCTTCGCAGTGTGCTGCAAGCCAGGCATGCAGTGCTGATCCCCCTTTCCCTCCCCTCAGCCTGCCTGCAGAGGGGCTGGGCTAGGCTGAGCCACATTGCAAAGAGCAGGCAACGGGGAAGCCCCCCAAGCACACACCCAACCCACTCGCACTCCATGCACGTGCACATACACACACCATCCCCACCCCTACACCCCGCCATGTACATCCCCCGCACATGCCCCACCCCAACCATATCTACACACACATCCAACAGTCCCATACACCCCACACCCCCACCACACATCTCCACACATACACCCCTCCACACACACACACACTGACACACCCTACTTGCACCATACCCACACCCCAGACACACCCCACCCCCAGCATACCCACACACACACCCAGCAGTCCCACACACCCCAGGCCTAAACCACACCTGCATATACCTGCAGCATACCCACACTCTCTACCCCTCCACACAATATACAAGCAACCCCCCAAAAGGAGTGCTTCCTGGGCAAGGGGAGAGACTTCCAGTGGCAAAGGTCAGGGGTTAGGGGGTAGGGCTTCTGATCACAAGAGGTCACCAGGGGGTGGGGCACCTGTCAAGGGGTGTGGCTACCCTTGTGGCCCTCGACGCCTCACCAAAACTCATTAAGCAGCCCTTCAGCCAAAATAATTGCCCACCCCTGAGTTAAGTCCTTTAAGTAGGCAGAATAGTGGGGCTTAATAATACAGTATTTCGTGCAGACCTTCTATGGGTGACAAGTTTCCCAACCAACTGTGCTGGTTACCTGTTGTTAACTAGGTAAATCACATGTGCCAATTTAAAATTCAATTTTCCTATGTATTTGGGCTGGTAAACGTCAGTCACATGAATATTCACAGAGAGAGCATTAGTAGTACTGGCAATAGAGATTCATTTTAAGTAATCAGAGAATCATAGAAGTCGGGTCGGAAGGGACCTTGTAGATCTTCAAGTCCGACCCCCCACCTGGGCAGGAGAAAAACTGGGCTCAGATGACTCCAGCCAGGTAGGCATCAAGCCTCTTCTTAAAGACCCCCAGGGTAGGAGCCAGCACCACTTCCGTTGGAAGTTGGTTCCAGATCCTAGCCGCCCTGACCGTGAAGTAGTTCTTATGGATTCAGGTGTCTTAGTAGCAAAGTTGTTGGTAATATTCACCCAACACAGGTTGTTAAAGATAATATGATTTGAAATAGCTGTGTAAGAGGCCAAATTCTGCCTTGATATTATTTTCTAGGATTATTGCTATCATTTCAAAGGCTAATAATGAACTGTAGCTTCACCATGCTGTTACATTAGATGTACTAGTCAAAAGATTTCCTTTGTAGTTTACTGAAATTTTTATCTTTATGCTATTCTGTACAAATAATGACTTTGTTTTTCCCATTATTGGTATCACTGCATATGATGGTCTCTGCACCAAACTAAATTTGAGAACAAGACTACCCAGAAAAGAGACCAGTAGCAGACTTTCTGTAAGGGCTTCAAGGTTTTACTTTTTTTCCAGTACATTTTAATTTTTAGCTGGTAAATGAAAGAAAAGTATTTTGGGCCATTTTTAATCCATTGCTTCCCTAAGAAGCAAATTCTTAGCATCAGTTCTGAGGTTTTAAAGCTTTGGCTATTTTTTTCAATATCTTTTCTTGCAAATGCATTGTTTAACCACACATGGTAAAGCCAAATCTAGGGTTCTATCAAATGTTGATCTATATGTGTAACTCTTGGTGATATGAAGGAGAATTGTGGCCCTCAACTGAGAGTGATGAGAGAGAGTTCAGATAGGGATGTCTAAAGGAGTTTTGCATTAATTAAGTTTTGAGAGTAATTTTCTTTAACACTTTAATGTGGGGAAAAGAAAAATGACACAAAATCGGGACGAGCTGCCTTAAACAGGACAAAAATAAGCTAAGGAACAGGGAAAGATTAGAAAACTGAATAGAATATATCCCAGTTGTTAGTTTGAAAAGTCTTAGCTAATACATCTTGAAATAAAATGTCCAAAAGGCATCTATTCAGTGGGAGAAATACACTCTTGGGAAATTAAATGCTGGAACAGTCTTGGGACAGTAGATGAGAATTGCAGCAAGCAAACATTACTTTGTAGTACACAAAAAAGCAACGTAACTTTAAGCTGTGTACATAAAGATGCATTGTCACCAGAGAGAAGCTGTAGTACAGGGGTAGGGTACATGGGTGTAGTACATGGGTGCCAGAGCATGGCAAGCAAAGGCATTTTGTTTGGCATGCACACCTTGGGGTGGGGCTGCACTGCCATAGAAGGGATCAAGCCCCTTGAGGCTCCCCTGCTGTCCACCCCAGCATGCCAACAATTTACAAGTTGAGGTTGTGGGTATTTTTGGCTCTCTGCCCAAAAATGTTGCCAGGCCTTGCTATAGTCTGTTCTGTGGACCTTGGCAACTGCACATTGAATGCAGCAGTCACGCACATGTAGAGCGGGGTGGGAGGAATTCAGAAGCGAGCAATGCAAAATGAGCAGAGAATGGAGAAACTGGCCTGTTAAGAAAAAATATAGAGGCCAACAAAGTTTGGCTAAGTCTGATTTAAAAAAAAGAGTCTTTGATGATGTTTTGAAGGGTGTACACACCAAGAAGGAAGGGAAATGACTGAGTATGCTTATATGCAGGTATTATTGTAAGTGTCAAGGTCAAATGGAAAGAAAAAAAATTAGGCTGAATGTAAAGGAAATCTTTTTGACAGTGAAATCTCTGAGTGTCTCTCTCAAAATTCACCTGAACTTTTTAATCCAAACTGAGCCAACCACTTTATGACTGAGCAAAATAGTAGAACATTTTTTTTTGTAGTAAGCACTCCGAAATTGGCAAGAAAGTGGGCTGCGTGGTGGGTCTTTCCACATTAAACTTCTATGGGCTAATGTGGACTGAGAATTTACACTACAGGGTTTAACGTTACGTTTAATGTCCTCAGATTCCTGTCTAACATGTTGTAGCTTCCCAGTGGAGACAAGGCCTACAGTTTTTTTTTAAGTGTTCCTATTGTAGAAATCATGGGGCTCTTTGAATATCCATTGAGTTTTTCCTTTCAAGGGAAAATCCTTACAGCTACTTCTGGGTTTGAATTTAAATTGCTTTTTTTAAAATGCAACTCAAGTACTGAAAGTGTCAAGAGAAGTCTCAGGAACTCGGAGCAAATCTCCAAAGTGGCCAGTCCTTCTAGATGGTGCTAAGTCCTGTTCGTCCTGCTGCAGCTCTGCCCTACTTTCTGACAAAGAGCACAGCATGTGACCTTGCATTCTGTGGTCCAGTGCTACAAAAAGCTCCACAAAAGTGCAGATTGTTACTTCTCCCAGGAGTCTCCCTGAGGTCAGCAGGATTACACGTGCATATAAGATTTGTGCTTCTCAGAGCTTGGCCCTTGCAGGACTAGGACAAATGCATTCAGCAATGGGCAGGAAAGACTTTTTCTTTCTGAAGGCTGATCTTCTAATGCATTTCTGGAGTCAGCTTTAATTTAGGTTTCATTTACTCTCAGATTTTGAAAGTGAGATCTCTCTTTCTGCAAGTCACCTAACCCATTTGCAGCATAAATGTAGCAATCGCATTAAAAAAAGACTAAAGAATGTAAGTAAAACATTGTCGAAGGAATATTTTGAATGTGGCCCACGAGGGAACTAAGGCTGTGGTGATTTTATTTTTGTAGACAGTCATGTGTGGCTCATTAAAAGCACAGATAAAGCTAGTCTCATTTCATTAGCTTGATTTGGCTCTGCAGAGAAGTAGCTCAGCTTCCTAAATCACTCTTAATCTGCTTATTTTAGCTAACCTCTTTTCAGGAGGAAAATGTAAAGCATGATGTAAATATATGAAATAAAATAGGGACATTTTAATAAAATTATCATTTAGCTGCCTTAGTTCCATTGCAGTTTCACTAAAATAGGGAATGAGTGGATTCTGTGCTGTATAATTAACTATTTTGTCTCATTGTCTTAATTGCTGATCAATCCTTACTGCATATTTGAAGTGTATAGGATTAGCCAGATATTTTTTCAAATGACAGTCACCCAAGGTCCTCTCATTTTTCCCTAATAAACCTAAATTTCCTGGAGTAGAAATTTTAAAAACAAACACAAGAAATAAAAAGGGTCCAGGCCAGGGAAGATTGGGGGAGGGGGGAGGGGAAACAAATATGTTGCAAAAAAATCTTAACTCCTCATGCTTTCAGATCAAATATATATATATGACCTTGGATCTAATTAATGATTGAAGTATTTGGGGGGAAATTTTGAATAAAAGCTGGTGTTGATAAAGTGAATTTGTCCTGGCTTCCTATTACTTTCAAATGAGGAATTTAAGGGGGATGGAAAGATAAACACCTTGACTTTTTCAGTTTTACTGAATTGGTTGCTTTATTTTTCTTCATATTGTCCATTTTATAGTAGCGTCAAACAAAAAAGCCAAGAGATTATACAGACTGTATAAAAGTGGGGAACAGACTTGTATTGAATTTTGCCATAATACAGTGCAGTTATTTACTAGCCTATTTTCCAAGTAGGCCATTAGCAACTGTAAGATTTGCCATCATTGGTATATACAGATTTTCTTTTCATTTCTTTTATAGGAAAATAGTTTCAGAATATGAGAAGACGATTGCTCAGATGATAGGTAGGTGTTACTGCTTTGGAAGATGCTATTCTGTGCTCTGACTTTGTGAAGAGAGCATAGAAATGTGGTTATTTCCATGGCCATAATTCTGACCTTAGGCATATCTGTTGAATGTTTTTGAATTTCATGAGAACCGGACATAATCTGAGGTTGGAATTATGTGCTGCCAGTTTATGCTGAAAAACAAGTCCTCCGTTCTGAAGCACTTGAGGCAATATGGAAGGTCACACGTCTTTCTTCTGTTGCTTATACATCTCTAGGATGTAAAAATATGTTGGCCGAGATCCATGAATATCTCCTGCAGAAAGGAATTTGGGTCATTTCAGTTATTCTCACATACACAGCTGCCATCCTGACATCCAGTATCCACACACGTGGGTAGATCCAGGATTTTGTAAAGGGGGAGTGTGTGCTAGCAGCAACTAGTTGCAGGGGTGGCTTCACCCCTGCTACCAGCCCGCCCTACCACCCCAGCAGACTGCCCCATGACAATAGCAGCCGGGGTCTTTTTTTAAGTTCCTCAATAAGGTAAGACTACTTACTCTCTTCCCTCCCTTCCTGTTCATGCACAGCAGCATGTCCCCTCCCCTCCCATTCTCCCTCTCCTCTGCTCACTACAGCCTCTGCTCCTGGATGATCTGTGGGGAGGGAGACTCCAGAGCTGCTCCACCTGGGCTGCACATGGAGCCAGGCTTTGCCAGAGAGAGAAGTGGCAGTGGCAGTGACAGTGGTGGCAGCAGCAGGCAGGTCCTCATCCCCTGAGCCTGCTCCTAGGCTTCCAGGACACAGCTGGGGTGACTAGGCAGAGAGGAGGAATCTGCCTGCCACGGCTGGTCCTGGCTGAGCCCAGCTTCTCTCAGAGCCCCTCTGGAGCCCTCCTGCCCCCTCATGGTGCTGAGCACAGAGGAGAGGGAGCGGGGTGGAATTCTTACCTGATTTATGGACTTAAAAAAAAGAAGTCTCCAGCTGTTACTTTTGCAGCAGCACCAACTGAAGGAGGGTGGGTCTGTGCCACTGCACTAGCTCTGGGACCACCCCTGCCCACTCATGTTTCTTCCCAGAAACAGAGGCCATCTTTCTGAATTATTTTTATTCCAACAAAATTCCAGATTAACTCCAACCCAATTCAGTGGCTGGAAAAGCCAACCCCCCCTCAATAGCTGATTAAAATCAGTGGGTTCCTTGGTTCTTAAATAATCACAGGATCTAGCCCTAGAATTGCCAGAAAAATAGTTTGGTGTGCATATCATCTAGAAAATATAATGTTACTTGCAAAATTTTTGCAGAAACAGAAAAATGTCAAACTTCAAACGCTTACTATTTTTAAAAACCATCCTTGGAGAATCTCAGCATCTTCCTTGTCTTGGGATTCTTGCTTTCTTATTGTAGCACACTAGTGGTATGTTCCCCAGCATTATTCACTTGGGACTCTCTCTCAGGGACCAGAAACTAAATTTTGACATTCAGGGCACTACAAGCAACCAACTAATTAGAACCAGGGGCTGATGAGAAGTGTAGGACATAATTCAATTCAAGGCAAATTGGGCACCAAGTGAAAGCATGTCGTGGTAACCACTTTCCAGGGTGTAACTATTTTATTTAAAAGATGGTTGTATGTGTTTATCTCCCTACCAACTGCTCTGAGGCGCCCATAAAAAAAGACATTAAAAAAATATATAAGGCCGATAGGAGATGAATTTATGTCTATTTCTTCTGGAATATAAGATTCAGAAGGGAGGCCAGTTCAAACAAATGACTTCATCAGACAGTGGGGAGGATGTTCTCATTATGAAGTTTTCAGGGTGTTTGCAACTGTTCTTTACAATGTAGCATCATTTCTAGCAGAGAGTGGTCATAGAAAATACAAGGTATCTGGTGTGTATGTGAATCTGTCTTAATGTAAATTTATAATTAGGAAAGTTTTCACTGCATCTGTTAGTATGTGATCATTGATGACATGTGTGAATGTATTGTGTTTCTCTGTTTAAATTGGCATCCATCCTTTCTATATTGTAACTGCATGATGACAAATGTTTTGATTATTTTTAGATTTTTCTACATGAATACCTATATTCTTAGAGTGATATTTTATAGTGTTGATACTGCCAGCATGAATTGCCTAGATTTATGGATTTATAGGCAGATGCTGCAGAAAGAACAAGTTAGTAGCTCAGAACCTGATATGAATAAGACTAGAGTCATGTTCAAATAAGTAGGTGTGTGCAGCAAACATGCTTGTTTTTGCCCAATGGCAAAAACAAGTAGACTGACTGTTTTTTTGGACAGGTTCTGCTGTTCTGCTCCTCCCACGATCTCCGTCAGATCCCACTGTGCTTTCATACAAATCAAGAGAACCCTAAAAACAATGTTCCCTGCCTTGCAGATTAACTGAACTGAATTATGAATGAAGGACAGAAATCATCCCCAAAATAAGGTCTCAAACTGTTTCAAATATGTAGGGTAATTGCTATTCCCCTTGGAATTTGAGGGGTTTGGATACCTATTGCATTTGATTGCCTTTGGCAGGATCTCTGTTGCATTTATAATTCACTCTTCATAAAAGCACGACCAGAACACCCTGTCTGCTGAGCGCTCCAGTTTTCTACATTAGATCCACACTGGTGTCTCTGCCACCCAACAGAAAGCTGGTTCAGTGCAGTGGAGGTTCAAGCCTAGAGTCCTCCAAATGTTACTTGGCTGGTGTCTTCTCTGTTTCATGTCTGGGACTGGTACATGCCAAAAATGAGTTTACTTTTTTTGTCCCCAGTGTTTTCATTAACACAGACAAAATGGCATCTTAGGGTTTTGCAGTGCATAGTCGGAGAGACAGAGAGCATGTACTCATTTCTTGTGTTATGTCCCAGTGATTGAACCTGTTTTAACCTCCACCTACAGTTATTTTTTTCAACTGCTGTTATTTCAAATTCAGTCATTCATCTACCTAGGATGCTTTTATTTTCTGCTGGTTAAGGAACCTATTTATTCCTCCTTTGGTTTCAGCGTGGCAATGCCACATTGTTGTAAGGCAACACAAAGAAAAGGAGCTCTTGCAGTAACAGCAAATGAGTTATTGTACAGGTGGCTTATTTTAAATTGCAGCCAATATTTCAGGTTATCTGACCATGCTGTTAGTCTCATGCATTTATTTATTAACTAATTTATAAAGCTAATTTAATGACTATAGCTTCAATAAAAAGTTGTCTGAAAGGCTTCTCAGAACTGGCCCCTGCTTGTTGTATAACCTGGATGTTGCGAGCCCCGTAATCATGGTGTCTGATCTCCATTCAGCAATATACAGTATCACAGTTTTATCTGATGAGGCATTGGATGAATTGAAACTGATGCCATCACGTGAAAGAATGTCCCTGTGGAGTAAATTCTCAAGTTATGCAGCTGTTCTCCTTAACATCCTTGCAGACAAATCAAGAATAATTAATATTCCTGATCACAGAACAAAAAGGAAGATCCTCATGCTTTGCATTCACAGTAGTAAATGACTCTTCCTGAATCGGTTTAAATTATAATTTTAAAAGAATTTATAGCAGGTTTTAGAGAGAGTTCTACATAACGTAATTTTCTATTTTTCATCAAATGGTATTGACTAGCATGGCCTTACATTCTGCAGCAGGATATCTGATTATGTTTTTAACACAGCGTTTCATCATTAATGTAGAAGCCCAATTTGAAGATTGCTCTCTCTCTCTGTTGCCACACACTTTGCTATGGAGAAAAGAGATTTCATGTAACTAAGTAGAGAACAGGATTATCTGGCATGTAGAAGAAGGTGATTGGCTATACCCTCTGCACAAATACATGAAAAAACAATTATTTTATATATATATATATATATATATATATTGCACACAATGCTCCTTGCTAATAAAACAAAATGAGGAAAAGAATGTACTTCAACAGAAAAATACATACTTGAATTGTTGTATGTATGACTACATTCTTTGCTCGTTATAAAGCCATCCACTAGAAAGGATTTAGTTAGACCTGACCCTCTTTCACTAATCCCTTTTGAAGGAATATTCATTTAGGTCCTTAAGTCCTCAAAGAGTTTTTCTAGATTGTCATGCATATGTATATTTACATAAAACTCAGTGAGTGCCATTGCTTTTGATGGGAGCAGGAGCAAGTCCAGTACTGATAGTCTATACCTAGAAAGCTAAATTTTGTTCTACTTACTTAACTCATACACAGTTCCATGTAGAGGTCTGTAGATATGTACTATCTGGATAACAGTAGTCAGTAAGTAGCTGCTAACTGGTGCCTTTTCAAGTACTTTCTGACTGTTGTCCTCATTTGTTTCCTTTCTCATTCTGTCCTTTCATGTTTGCTTTCACCTCTCTATTGCATGTTTTACCCTAAAAAAAAGAAAGTCCTGTTGCCCAATTTTTCCAGGTAGGAAAGAGTTACTGAGTGTTTAACTCCAGATGGGTTGCATCAACAGAACGAGGTGAGAAAGCTCACCCAGCCGTTGTTTTCACTGTGCTGGGCTCACGTCAGCATGCTTATGGTAAAATTTACCGCTCTGCACCAAATGAGTTCCATTTAGGTCTGAAACAGGAACATGAGGCCTAAAGCGTCATGCTCTCTTTTGCATAGGGATGCATTTTACCTATCATCTTTCTCTTTCCAAAGTGGCATAATTGTCCGTATTTTTTTCTTTATGGATCCATTTTGTGTTTAATTTTTTTCATTGGTTATGAAATGTCTTTTTTAATTTTTTTCCTTCAAAAATGTCTCCGTAGATTTCTAGGTTTGAGGATATTGTTAAACTCTCACTATGAAAATAAAAGAAGTGTGTGCTTTCTGCATTTAAAGTTGTTGCATTACTTTTTTTCTGCTTTCCTAACAAATTCCCTGATTTTCTATTTTGCTTCCATTTTTGTTGCTTCTTGCTATTTGCTTGCAAAACAAACAAACAAACAGGCAAGCCTGGTAAGTAATGCTTTTCACCACCTTTTACACCTGCATTTTGCATTTTTGTTGCTTTTATACTTTGTATTTGCTGCATCCCCATTATTAAATGATAGAAATATTCCTATTAGATATTGAAAACATGTTTAAAAGCTCTTCAATAGCATCTTTTTTATTGCTACTCTTGAACTATTTATTTCTAGTTCTTTGTTTGTTAAAAATATATCTAGGAATTTTACTTTTGTTTGAATTATTATTTTTCAATTGTGAGAAGTGTTCTCAAGAGACATAGAAGCCTCTTTATTAAGGCAATTAAAGAATCATATAAGCTTATATAAAATGTATGCATTTGTAATTCCTTAACTAGGATTTGACCAGCAGTCTTGCTGGCAATACTGTTCTGGTGAGCAGTGATATCTTTGCAGCTAAATTGAAGAATACATCTCTCAAGTCTGCCAGTCCCATTCACAATGATGGCAGGTTTTCCCTTGTGTTCATCCACTCTTTGTTCGGGCTAGTTCTAAATGCTTCAGGCAGTGAAGTGTCTGTCTACCATTGCTTGTGATGCTATTCTTCAGTTCGATAGATCTAACTCTTCACAGTATGTTTTTCCTATGCATGCTAGATTTCCATTCCTTTCATTTTATTCCTTTTACCTCGTTTCACCAAAATATTTCCTTTCTCCTTTGGAGACTAAGGTTGGGTTTGAAGCTCACTCTCTGGCCAGATGACAGGTCAAAGACTTGGCAGGGATAGCACTTAACACATGGGTCAGAAGAATTGAACACCTGATGTCGCACTCTTCTGATCCCATCTGGTCACCTGAAGAAACAATGTTACTTATAATTGGAAGGAGCTGGTTGAGCCTTTCCTGACAGAAGGAAAGCTGCCAGGGAACAAGGAAGAGACGGGAAAGGAGTTTTCTATAGGGATTTGAAGGGGCTGTGGTGAATTATTCACAGGCTCAACTGCCATAGAAACAGATGAGAAGAAAATCACTCAAATACAACAGGACTTAATTTAATTGCCTCAAACGAGGCAACATTTCATTTCCTTGATCTGTCACTAGCACCTGATCATATGTGGTTCCACGCACATGGACCCCCACTCCTGCACAGTCACGATGAAGTGGGATCATTTTGGGGAGTATGGGCTTGTGCATCCAGCCCTTAAATTATAGATTGTCCTCAAGGGTTTAGGTTGTCGCTGTGTTGGTCTAAAGACATAGGCAGGCAAGGATCTTTGGGTGAATCTGATATCTTTTATTAGATCAACTTAGTTTTGATGGGCTTTGAGGACCAGGTTGTCCTCAAGACGCATAAAAACTAACCTTGTGGTGGGACTGAAGAAGAAGGCTTCTGAGAAGAAAACAAATGAAGGACTGCACATTCTCCCACTGTATTTACTAGTCACAGTGGGTACACAGCACATGTTTTTGAGATCATAGTTGAAAAGACCGCAGCAAATCATCCTAATACTGATTTCCAAAACAATCTTAAAAGGAAGTTCTACTCTGAAAACTGGCATGGCATTCACCTCAGTTTTTCTTTATCAAATGTGTTCAGTTCACAAATAAAGAAATGTTGCAATTAACTTAAATTTGCAAAGTTATATCTACCCTGGGTTCTTTCCATGTCATACATTATTACTCATAAAGTATCTGCAGATCAGGCAATACCTGGGTAACTCTGTTGACCTCTGTGGGTTTGCAATGTGTTACTCAATCAACAAATCCAAGTTGAGGTGCAACGTAGAAATGCAGTTGATGCTCTACTGTGTTGGCTAACAGAAAAGGCAGGGCAAACCTCTGAATACCCCAAAGAAGCAAATCTTTTATATTTGAAGGTGCCATATTAGAAAGTTCCATGTCTGAGTTGAGCTGAATTTTAAATGCTTATTTCAAGCTAAGGCTTCTGTTGAGATGAAAAACTGACCTCTGCCATAGTTCAGAATGTAGTAGACCTAAATGGACAGTCGCAGGCTTTAAAATGTTGCCTGTTCTTTGTTCAGGAGAACCTTTTACCTTATCATGGATGTAATACAACTGTCTCACTTCACTGTTATGTTTTCATTTCAACTTCATTCAAAATGGTCTATAAAACATGGATCATGGGAATCATATTTCATTGGTATGAAAAATAAAGCATTTTATTAAACAGAATATTAGCACTTCCTTTCTGTAGCTGCAAAGAGATGCCACTTTGTGTCTTGGCCAGTGATCACCTTGAGTAAAGGAATACTAATCCCAACACATGTCTACTTTTGCCTGGTTTCCTCTTTTAATTTTAGAGATGAGAAGCTCAAAAAGTTTAGTTTTGCTGTGCTCATATATTTATAATATACCTGAACTTAAATCTGGTGCCAAGTTTCCTGACTGGTATTGCCGAACAATGAAACTTGTGAGCCAGCTTTGTATAATCTAAGGTCATAATTTTGCATGAGCAATACCTGGTTTGTATTAAATGAGGCCCCTAGTTTGCATTGGATGAGCCAGTGTTATCCAGAATCAGGTGGTGAGCATTACAAATGATAATGGCTGGCATCAGTGGCACAGATACCTAGTAGCTTTTCACTTGGTTCCTCTTTGAAGAAAGAGAAAAATCCAACCTCTGTTTCTTCAGAATAAACAACTGAGTTCAGAGTGCTATAAATCATCGATATGAAGATGTTTTTAAATGTTTTCCATGTCTTAGAAAATAAGAGGCAAGATAACTAGGCACACTATCAAACATAGGATTATGCCTCTGTATCGTGTCTTTTCTAGGACTAAAGAACCATTTAGCTACTTGTATAAACAGCATAGCATTGTAAAAACATGTTCTTAATATAACCCCTTCTGTCAATTGCTTTTTTTTTTATACAGAGGATGAACAGAGAGAGAAATCTGTCTCCCATCATACTGTCCAGCAGCTAATAGTGGAGAAGGAACAAGCTTTGGCAGACCTGAACTCTGTGGAGAAATCACTTGCAGACCTTTTTAGGAGATATGAAAAAATGAAAGAAGTTCTGGAAGGATTTCGGAAAGTAAGTCAGGGGGTGTCTTCAAAGTAAAAAAATGTAGGATATTAAACTCTGTTTTTCTGAAAACAACAAACAAATCCTTAGGCAGCCATATAACAATGTTGTTCAATTTTTGACTCTGTTGTTGCTTTCAGTCATGAGTCCACTTGTCAAGGTTCAGTTGTAATTGCGCAGGGTGCACATAGTGTGTTTGTACTTGTTCACATACTCATTTGTTCTTGATTATCTGGAAATAGCTTCAGAAGTACCAAAATGTTGTAGAAAACAAATTTGCTGGCATATATGCCACGCAGAAGTTGTGAAAGATTATTTGAATTCTCTAGTACTTTCTGAGCAATAGCATATAGCAGGGGTTTTCAAACTTTTTTTTAACAAGTGTTCCCCTTCTGTCTCAGAGTTTCAGTTCATGTACCCCTTTATATTTTTTTCTTGTTTTTAAGGGGGGGGGGG